TACTGACCATGTCAGTATCAGGAAATATTCTGGGGATGCTCCTTCCCCGGGGAGCCTGATCCCTGGTGCATGTGCACGGGGGGACACTCAACAAATAAAATTAATAATTATAATATCAGAAAGAGATAGGTGCTATGGAAAAGCAATAAAGTAACGAAGGACAAAAAGGCTTCACAGAGATGGTGAACAGAGGCTTGGTGCTGGTGACAGAGCAAGCCTGGCGGCCACATGGGGGAAGGATTATGCAGGCTGAGCTGGGCGTGGTGGCGGCGCCTGTAGTCCCAGCTACTCGGGAGGCTGGGGCAGGAGAATCTCTTGAACCCAGGAGGCAGAGGTTGCAGTGAGCCAAGATTGCGCCACTGCACTCTAGCCTAGGTGACAGAACGAGACTCTGTCTCAAAAAAAAAAAAAAAGTAGAGCCAATAGAATTTTCTGAGGAACTGGATGTGCAGCGTGAGATAAAGAAAATGGTGACTCCAAGGTATCTGAATTGAGCAACTAAAGGATCAAGCTGCCATTTACTGAGGTGGGGAAACTGCAGGGGGAAGAGGTTTGGCAGTGGAGAAGGGGGAACAGCAGAGGTTCACTTTCGAACATGCTACATTAAAGATGTTTATGAAACATCAAATCCAGAGGTGGAGGAGACAGCTCAAGGTCAGGGTTTGGAAAAGCCCAGGCTGGAGATATAAACTGGAAGCTGACCACATTTGGGTGGTATTTAGAGCATGTGGGTGGAATAAGATCATCTAAGAGTAGGCACTGCTATCCTAGTGTTGACAGAAGAGAGGCCCAAGGCCTGAGCTCTGGGGCATTTCAACATTTGGTTGATTCTCAGATGAGCAGCTTCAGCATCATCTGGGAAGTTGGTGGAAACACAAATTCTCAGGAACCACCTCAGACCACCTGAATGAGGGTGGAGTTCAGCACTGTGTTTTAACAAGACTTTCAGATGATTCTGATTACCATATAATTGTGTGCCACAAAACAGCATTTCAGTCAATGGCAGACCACATATATGATGGTGGTTTCAAACAATTATAACGAAGCTGAAAAATTCCTATTGCCTAGTAACGTAGCCATTAGCACAATACATTACTCGTGCTTGTGACAATGCTGGTGTAAACAGGCCTACTGCACTGTCAGTTGTACAAAAGTACAGCAATACAATTATCTACAGTATATAATACTTGCTAATGATAATAAACGACTATGTTACTGGTTTAAGTACTTACTATACTATACCTTTTATCATTATTTTAGAGTATACTCAGTATACTCCTACTTGTAAGAAAAAAAGTTAACTGTAAAACTGCAAAACAGCCTCAGAGAGGTCCTTTGGGAGGTATCCCAGAAGCAGGCATTGCTATCCCAGGAGATGACAGCTCCATGCCTGTTACTGCCCTTGAAGACCTTCCACTGGGACAAGCTATGAAGGTGGAAGACAGTGAGATTGAAGACCCTGACCTTGCATAGGCCTAGGCTAATGTGTGTGTTTGTGCCTTAGTTCTTAGCTTTTTCTTTTCTTCTTCTTCTTTTTTTTTTTTTAAGATGGAGTGTTCCTCTGTTGCCCAGGCTGGAGTGCAGTGGCGCGATCTCGGCTCACTGCAACCTTTGCCTCCTGGGTTCAAGAGATTCTCCTGTCTCACAGCCTCCGAAGTAACTGGGATTACAGGCATGTGCCACCACGCCCGGCTAATTTTTGTATTTTTAGTAGAGACGGGGTTTCGCCATGTTGGCCAGGCTGGACTTGAACTCCTGATAGGTGATCTGCCTGCTACCACACCTGGCCAGAAAAGGTAACTTATTGAAGGGCAATTCTTTTTATAAATTTAATGTAGCCTAAGTGTGCATCAGTTATAAAGTCTACAGTAGTGTATAGTAATGTCATAGGCCTTCACATTCACTCACCATTCAATGACACACCCAGAGCTGAAACCCACCCAATAGTCCCATAGACAAGGTTTTTTTTTTTTGTTTTTTTTTTTGATAAACATAGAATGTGTCCCTTCTAGTCTTAAAGCTTGAAACTGAAATTTGTTTTGTCTGAGTTCCTTCCTCAGGAAAGAACTTCAGGCATCTCAAAAGTATCAAGGAACAGGTTGGGCACGGTGGCTCACGCCTCTAATCCCTGCACTTTAGGAGGCCGAGATGGGTGGATCACCTGAGGTCAGGAGTTCGAGACCAGCCTGGTCAACATGATGAAACCCCGTCTCTACTAAAAATACAAAAAATTAGCCGGGCGTGGTGGCAGGCGCCTGTTATCCCAGCTACTCAGGAGGCTGAGGCAGGAGAACCGCTTGAACCTGGGGAGGCGGAGATTGCAGTGAGCCAAGATCTTGCCACTGCACTCCAGCCTGGGCAACAAGAGAGAAACTTCTTCTCAAAAAAAAAGTATCAAAGAAGGGAAACTCACCAGACCACTACACTCAGACAGTGAGACACCACGCCTCTCATGCATCATGATTGCCATCCTACCTCTCCTGAGTTCCTATTTTCCCACACATTGTTACATTTCTTTCCTGCTATATAAACTCCTAACTTCAGTGGGTCAAGGAGATGGATTTGATACTGACCTCCCATCTTCCAGGCTGCATCGCCCAATAATCATCTCAGTCATTGGCTTCCTGTGCGGTGAGATCATGGTCTCAGTCATTGGCTTCCTGTGCTGTGAGTGGCAGGACCTAGACCTACAAGAAAAAAAGTTAACTGTAAAACGGCCTCAGAGAGGTCCTTCGGGAGTTATCCTGGAAGCAGGCATTGCTATCCTAGGAGATGACAGTGTTTTGGTAACAGAGTAACTTCCAGTCTTGCAAGCTCCAATCATGGTAAGTGCCCTACACAGGTGCACAGGATATGTTGTATCCTGTTATGTTTAGATACACAAATACCATTGTGTTACAATGACCTACAGTCTTCACCACATAACCTGCTGTACATGTTTATAGCTTTGGAGCAATAGGCTATGCCATATAGCCTGGGTGTGCAGTAGGTGATACAGTCTAGGTTTTCATAAATACATTCTATGATGTTCACACAAGAACAAAATCACCTAAAAATGCATTTCTCTGAGGGTATCCTGGTTGTTAAGCGATGCATGACTGTTGTTTGGAAAACAGTGGTTTAGAGGTGGGGAGAAGAGGAAATACCTAATGAGACTGAGAAAAAGTGACCAGTCAAGGACGAAGAAAACCAGAAAGTATTTCCAGGAGCAGGGGGCAGCCAAGTGTTATTACCTATTAATAAAGTGATATGAGGACTGACAATTGACGTGGTAACAAAGAAGGGATATCTGTGATGGGGATGATTAGCAACAAGAAGAAAGGGGTGCTCCAGACACACTGAAACCAGCCCAGTAGTCCCATAGGCTTTATTTTGGATATACATAGAAAGTGATTTTTTTTTTTTTTTTTTTTTTTTTTTTGAGACGGAGTCTCACAACGGAGTTGCCCAGGTTGGAGTGCACTGGCATGATCTTGGCTCACTGCAACCTCCGCCTCCTGGGTTCAAGCGATTCTCCTGCCTCAGCCTCCCAAGTAGCTGGGATTACAGGCGTGTGCCACCAAGCCTGGCTAATTTTTCTATTTTTAGTAGAGATGGGGTTTCACCATGTTGGCCAGGCTGGTCTTGAACTCCTGACCTCAAATGATCCACCCGCCTCGGCCTCCCAAAGTGCTGGGATTACAGACATGAGCCACCTCGCCCGGCAGACTCTCTGGTTTTAAAGTTTGAAGCTTATACTTGTTTTATCATAGTTCCTTCCTCAGGAAAGATCCTCAGGCCTCTCAAAAAAGTATCAAAAGGTGATTCTGAGAAAGTATTTGATGAAAAAAAAAAAGTATCAAAGAACTGAAACACACCAGATGATGGCATCCAGACAAGGATACACCAGACCCCTCATTCATCATGATTGCTTCCTTATGTCTCCCTCATTCCTGTTCCCCCCACACGGTTACATTTCTTCCCTGCTATATAGACCCCTGGTTTTCGTAGGTCAGGGAGATGGATTTGCAGCTGGTCTCCCATCTCCTTGGCTGCAGCACCTGACTAAAGCCTTCTTCCTTGGCAATACTCCTCTCAGTGATTGGCTTTTTTTTGTGCAGCAAGCTGCAGGGCCTAGACCTTATCCCTGCGGTTTCCGTAACATCAGCGAGTGGTGTCTTTCATACGAAGCATCTTCTGAAGGAAACGGCCCATCCCCTATCTCCTGTAGAGGGAAGGGTGGGGAGACTCCCTTTGGCTGCCATTTGAGCTGGCACGGCTGTGTCTCTACCACATGTCCTTTATCCCCACCAGCCCTAGCTGCCTGTACCAAATATAGCCAATCTATGGACCAGTTAGAGATACGTGTGGTTATCTCTGCAGAAGAAACCCAAAATAATAGTGGCTTATACAAAATAGAAGTCTGCATCTCTCTCATGCCAAAGCCCAAGCTCTGTTCCAGCAAATTACTCGGGGCTCCGTTCCTCCTACCTTGTTGGTTTACCATCGCTAGGGTGCAGACTAGTTCACACGGCCCATGATGATTCACTATGTTCCAGGCAGCAAGGGGCTGGGGGTGCTGGGGAGGGCAAGGGCAGGAATAATGATAAGCCTTGGGAAGCCTTGAGCCTATCTAAAAATTGGAGATTCTGTTGGAGAAAGGTCAATGGGACATTGTGGCTTGTATCCAAACAAAGACATCGCTAATTAGATTTTCTCTTGGGAATCGCAACTGGACAGAAACCTGGCACTTTAACGTGGGAAGGTAAGTGAAAACACGCCCTAGCCTGAAGACCCGCCCACCCCTAGAGCTCCTGGGGAGTCTGCAAGACCTCCAGGCTCCAGCCTCCTTAGGGCAGCAGCCCTAGTTTACTGGTTCCTCTTGGAGACGTGGCTGTTGTTGGGGTTGAGGTGATTTCGGGATTGAAATTCCATTTTTCTGTATTCCGAGGTGCAATATGGAACAAACATCCCTGCTTACTTTAAACTGAGATCCCCTCTGTGCCCGCCGCGAAGGGCCGATGCATGGAGGCGCAGCAGCAGGGACGCCGCCGGGCGCCTCCCCTCCGAGGGAGCACGGCAGCCCGGGAAGGATCCCACGTGGGTCAGGGGCGCGCCTTCCGCCGTCACCGTAGCGGGGACGCGAAAGTCCCACGACAGGCGGGGTTTGGCGCGTCCACTGCCCACAGTCGGCACTGAAGGAGGAGCGGCCCTTCGACAGCCACGGGCAGGGATTCGCCAGCTGCCGAACGCTCCTCCAGGCCGGTCAGGCGCGCGCGGCGCCAAGAAACGCAGCCTGGGGCGCAGGCGGCCGCGGGGTCCTCTGGGAAGCGGCGTTGGGCGTGACGGCCGCCAGCCGCGCCCCGCGGAGGATTCTGGGAGTGGTAGTCCGGCCTCACGGTTGGCCGGCGCTAGGCGTCGCAGCCGGCGGTTAGATGCCTTTGTAGTCGGGCTCCGCTTGCCGGTGTGTGGCTGGAGGTCGAACCCAGGGTGGAGGAGGGCTGAGCGCATCCCCTTTCAGTCTGAGTGCCCGGGAGGAGGGTGGCGGGAGGACCCCCGGGTGGGGGCGCCGGGCCGCCAGCGCGAGCTGCGTTCCGGGCCTCTTGGGGAACGCGAGCGGCGGACCCCCGGCCCCTTCCCCCGCGGCGGTTGCCTCCAGCGCGGGCTGGAGGAAGGAGTCTCCATGGAACCTGGGGGCAGAGGTGAGGATTTGGGAGTGAGGCGGCCTTGGTGCCCGCCGGAGAGGGAGAAAGGGAGAAAGTGTGGGGCAGGCTCAGGAAGGAGTAGCGTCAGGAGCCCCTTCCCGCTGGCCGGTCTCACGTGGGGTTTTGAGGGACAGCCCGCCACTTCCATTGCCCTCCTGGTCTGTAGGCGCTGGACGCCTCCCTTGCCCAAGGGAAGATACCAACACATCTGAAGTTTGGCTTTTGATAATGACTTCTTTTTTGATGTTAGAGGAGCCCCATAAGGCAGTAGGAAGGGACTATCTGACCCTTTTGGAAGGAAGGGAAGGAGGGGATTTGAGAAGTCACGGAGTTTGTTTACAATCTTGGTTTGTTTTTGCTGGTGGTGGTGGTTCTTCCGTAAGACCCATCGCTTTTCTGAGTCAGTCGGTATTGTATCAATATGTGAAAAGCCAATGTTCAAAAAGAATTTAACTCGTCTTCGTTCATCCTGGGAGCCTGAAATACAACAGAGGTGAATCACTGAGGCATGGACATACAAAGACTTGGAGTATTATTTTGACTACTTAGCACATGCAAGATAAAAATATGTTTGATTTATATGTCTAGATGCTCAGTCTACTGGAGTTTAAGGGCAGAGGAGAACAGGAGGAGCCTGAGGCAGCAATGGTCAAGGCTGTCTTGATTAAAGGATATTATGCGATTGTCCTTTGGTTCCCAGTGTTGACTTTTCTTAGATGACAACTAGCTGGTGTGTGGCACTTTCTGCTAGTTTATTGCAAGGAAAGAGTAATCGTCATGGCTCCTGTCTCCACTTTTAGGATCACTTTTTGAGGACTCAGACCTTCTCCATGCTGGAAACCCAAAAGAAAATGACGTGACTGCTGTGCTGCTGACCCCTGGGTCCCAAGTGAGTTTAGATTTCTTCTTTTTTTTTTCCTTCTGTTCTCAGAGCAAGGATATGTTTCCTTCCATTGTTACGGAATTGCTCAGCCCTGATTCCTAGACCACTGGGTTCATCCTGATAAACTGATGACTGAGGAAGCCCACAGGAAGTGGTCTTCGGTTGTGCAGAACTCTCTTCCCAGCGTTGCTTTCTCCCTACCCACTGAATGTTTGCTGCACACACACTCAGTACTGTAATTGGCCTTGGTGAGGTGCAAAGAAGTAAAAGCCACTTGCTCCTGCGTCGCGGAGTTTACTAAGGCAGTGAGAGATATATAGATAAAATAAACATGAGGAAATAGATATTTTTTAAACGTAGAAATGATTGGTCCAGACAAGTCATAAAAGTCTCTGAAAGAGATTTTCTTTTAATCATGTGTTTGGGAGAAGTGTAGGATAAAAACTGTACTTTGAAAAACAAGAGAGATTGGGTAGTCGGAGGGTAGAATAAGGGAATATTCCAAGAGAGAACAGCTTTGGCCAAAAAAGGAAAAAAAAAGTCTTCAAATGATGAGGGAGTTGGAGGTCTTTTAAGGATGTGTGGATGTGTGAGTCGCTGTGGGGAGACCTAGACTGTGGTGAGGGAAGCTTGGCTGTGTTGTACCCAGACCCCAGGACAGTCTACACTCAGTCTTATTCCAGAGGTAAGTGACGGCCCCATGAAGGTTTTTAGAGGCCCAGCAGGACGAAACATGCCGTAGCTGATTGGAGAGAGAAGATTCGTAAAGATGCTTCTGTAAGATCTGGCCAAGACAGTGGGAGATTGGCAGACCCTTTGGTTCAGATGCTGGGACTCTTTGTTTCCATCACACCAGGCCTAAGCATACAGGTACTGATGATCCTAATAAAACCATAGGAGAAAATGCCAGTATTGATTTTGATCTGTGAATTTGTAGATGAGGTTCAGAGAGATGAGGGGAGAGAAAGTCAGTAGCGCCTGCTGACAGTGTCTGATTGGCCTGCCTGTGCCTTCCGACCCCGGCACAGGCACTTAAGTGAGTAGATTGCTGAGGTTTTTTTAGGGAACTGAAGTCTGAGGACCTGCCTGTTAGTCTGTTGGTGTTAGCATTGTTTGTACAGAACGAAGATGGTGCACGTTATATTACTTGTGCTGATTACTCCTGAGGCGTATGACCTTATGTGTGGGATTTCTTACTTAAAGTGTTTAAGAGTGTATTTTGGGCAGAGGATTTTCAGAGTAGGTGGTTCTTTTAGCTTTATGTCATTAGGTGCATTGTTTTACTAATAATTTTTGAAAGACTATGAAATATACATTAGAAAGCTGAATACAAACAAAATTTACCGTTTGATATATATATATATATATATATTCATTCAAGGGGCTGTGGCCCAAGTGGTAATTTAAAGAGCTGTAAAACTGATTCGTTTGCTAACCCAAGGACTGGTTTATTTTACTCTTAAGTTAAACTGTAGTTGCACAGAAATTTAAAAAATAGAATTTGAAAAATTATTAGACATTTATCTTAGCAGCAGTAACAGATTCAAAAGAGCGTTACCTGCTCTACTCCCTTATTTCAATATTTTAGTAAACAAACTAAACTTTGTGCCTGTCATCTAGAAGGAGGTTAGGCTAAATACTCCTGCACTGTTTTCTATGTTTAATATGCTTCTGTTCTCCTCCCCACTTCTGTTCCCATGCACACTTTTATAGAACACCCCATTTAAACTTGTTTCTATTAATTCTTGTTCCTTCCTTCCTTTCTTCATTCAAATATTCAACGAATATTTACAGAGTTTCTACTCTGTGCCAAGTACTAGGGCTGCTTCAGCGAACAAAAATCTCCCCCTGTGGAGCTGATGTTAGTCACAAGGTCTCCTCTATGTGTACAACCCAAGGGAAGGAACATGTGTTCTAACAGGAGGGTCAGGGAAGGCTTCCCCTGAGTAACACCTGAGCTGAGATCTGAAGGGAGAGAAGGATTCACATTGTTGAAAGGATGGGGCAGGGGGCGGAATATTCAGGAATAGGAAGCAGGATGTGTAAAGGGGCCAAAGGGAACAGGACACACACTTCAAGCAAATGAAAGAACGCCACCAGCTGGGGGGCAGGGGCAGACTGATCAGGGTCGTTGTGAAAAATGACAAGAACGCTCTGGGAACTTTCGTAATATTTTGGGCTTCAGATACTGTTTTACAAATAAGTCTATATTCTGTGACGTGTAGAAAACGTCTTAATTTTTAGTATGTATGGAACTGATTTCATTCTTAGGAAAACTAGAGAAAACAATACTTCAATTTCTTGAACCCCATATATTTTAAAAACTGTACCGTAAGGAAAATACTTAATTCATCATTACATTTTTCTCCCCCTTTTCCTATATAAGTAGTAGCAAATTCTGTAGGTCTGCAATTTATTAATAAATAAACTAAGAAGTTCATACCTTCAAGTTTTACATTGAAGGTGCTTTCCTTCCTACTTGCAGGTAATACGCATTTCTGTTGCCTGGAGGCAAAGAGTGAGTCTGTGGACTACAAATTCACCAGAGAATGTTAGTACTGGAAAGGGTGGCCGAGGCCATGTTGTCTGTCCTCTTTTTATCCTTCCTGTCTTCCTCCTCCTGTGCTGTCAGCTTTAGGCCTCTTCAGAGGCCTCTGTAAGGAGGCTCGTTGGTGAGCACCAATCTGTTTGGTTTTTCAGGAACTGATGATCAGGGATATGGCTGAGGCTCTCACCCAGTGGAGGCAGCTGAACTCTCCTCAGGGAGATGTGCCTGAGAAGCCCAGGAATCTGGTCTTGCTGGGTAAGGATGGCTCCCCCAGTGCCCGTGATTTTAGCCAGTGTGGTACCTTGGTCTCCTCAGTTCCTAGGAGCTCCAGGGTCCTTATAGTCAATGATTCTTAATTCTAGTAGGGCCTGAGACAGGCAATTTCTGCCTTTTGTTTCTGGATATAGTGTTAACACTCCTGGAATTAGACATAAACACCTTTATTTTATAGACCTGTAGCATCCTTCTTCTCTACTCCTTGACCAAGGATGTGGAGACAAAGTGCTAATGAAAACAACTCTTAAGAGAATGGATGCTTATTCTTTAAATAGGGGGAGGTAAAATTGATAAGGGACTCAACCCCCTATCAATCTTCCTACCTCGTGAGCACTGTCGAGGAAGAAATGGAGAACTGACCTCACTCTCTCCCTCTCTTACCATGTTCCTGAAGACCAAGGAACGAACACTGAGGTCTTTACCAGACTCCTTTTTCTTTCCCTATGAATAGGGCTTCCAATTTCCACACCTGATGTAATCTCTCAGTTGGAGCATGAGGAGGAACTGAAGAGAGAAGTTTCAAAAGCAGCCGCTCCAGGTGCGTGAGTGTTGAAAACGGTGCGAGTAAAACCCAGGTTGTCAATGGAAATGCTTATGGAGGAGGAGCCTGTCCAGATATTGCTGGACCCATGGAAAAGTCGAAGTCCCTGTCTCTCCCCTGTGCCACATCCTAGCTCCGTGGATGGTGATCTGTTTATAAAGTTATAATTTGATTTTTTAGAAAGTAAATACTTTCTACTCTTTCAAACCAATTCTTTTTCCCAAATAAGGTGCAATGAAACCAACATTTTAATGTTTGTTAATAACTTGCTTGGGTTCAAGGCTCTAAACCAGAATTTTCCACGTGTCATTTTATCTTTGCCGAACGCCATGTTTTTGAGTCTCAGATCAATGACTGTAAATTCATCTCTGGGTTTTCCCTTGCCACCTTCTCTGTCTAAGCAGAGGCGGCATGGCATGATGGTTAAGACTGCAGACTTTGGAACTAAGCTTCCTTGGTTTAAACCCGATCTTAGCTACTCATTAGCTTTGTGACCTTTAACAGGTGACTTGTGTTCTCCGTGACTTAAATTTCCCCAGTGGTGAAATGGGGATAGTGACAGCACAGAGCTTATACTGTTGTGGTGACGATCAAAGGAAATAATCCAAGAGAAATGTTTTAAACAGTACCTGGCTATATGCTAAGCAAATGATAGCTATTAAGTCCTCGTAACTGTTTTGAAAGATGTTATGGATTTGACCCTGTTACTTCTGTCAAACTGGATTACTGCAATAGACTATTGGTTAATTATACTTTCTTTACTCTTCTCCTTGTAAAATTGAGGCAGATTAATACTGCTAGATGCCCCAATGAGTTGCTTCCTCTGCCAGTTCTGTATTCCTCTACCTGCTTTCAAAGCCGTTGTTAGTCTACCTGCCTAACTTTTTTGCCTTCTCTGTTCTTCAGCTTGAACTCTTAACATCAGATAGGCAAGTCCCTCAGTGTCCTCCACTAACCGTGTGTTCTTCGTGAACATTTGGGGCTTTAACTTTTACACTCCCCTTAGCTGGAAGTCCATTTGCCTTTAACCTCTTCTACCTATTTGTCCTTTAAAATCCCAGGCACTTCCCTGAGTATACTAGTTGAGAACACTGTATTGCATTAATTTATTTCTTGTAGAGACATGATTGGAATGGATATTAAAGATCGTTTAAGCTTGCAAGGATTTAAACATTTTTAGCAATGAAGCTTTTCCCCCTCAAATTCTTACTAGGAAGCCCAGGTATCTTGAGAGGTTGGGGACTAATCTGAACACATGGAGTTTCAACCTTCCTCTCCCAACACACTGCTGTTTTTCTCTTTCGTTCCTTTCTCTCTTTTTTCTTTCTTCTTGGTTCTGTTTTACTCTTTCCAGTTTGCTGGGTCTAGGGTGATGGTAAGCAATCAGAGGTGATTAATTGCTTTCCAGTTAATAAGCTTTGTGCTCATTTGAGTTTGTAGACCTGGACCATGTTGAATGCTAGCTTCTAGAATTTGTGTCTCATCTTGAGATGAGACAGATTTTTGTGAAAGGGAGATGGTTTTCAGCAATTAGTCTTTTAGCAGTGGTTGGGACATATTGGAGTAGGAAAGGATTGGTGGCAAGGAGATTAGGTAAAGATGGTCATTCTCGAGGCATGAAATGATAAGGCTCTGGTCAGATGGGTACAGTGAGTCTTTGGAAGACCATCTTTCTCTGATCCTAGCCCTGTCTCCTCTAAATCCTTTTTAAAAAATCTGCTATTTCTTCACATCACCTCTTGTTAGTCTCGTTCTGTTATTTTTCGTTATTTCCTATCCTGCTGCATGGGGGAACGTTGAGTACCTGTACACACTCTCCTTTTACGCAGCCGTACTTCTTTGTTCAGTCATCTTTTTTTTCTTGTGTTCTCCCAAGATTGCAAGACTATTTTTGAGAGCTTTGAAGTTCATGTGTTCCCTGTAAATATTCTTAACAAACATGTCTCATTAATTTCCTACCCCAGCAGTTATTTTTCTCCCAGGGTAGGAAATGATACACGTGTGTATTTTTGCTTATTTCAGACTGGGAAACAATACCAGAAAGCAAGGAGCTCACTCCAGAAAAGGGTATTTCTGAAGAAGAATCGGCCCCTGGGGTGTTAATTGTAAGATTTTCAAAGGAAGGTTCTAGTGAACGTGAGGATTCTTTAGAGAGTCAGCAGGAAAACCATGAGAAACATTTAATACAAGACACTGTCACTCAGAAATCTTCTAGGGAGAGAAGTTACCAATTTGATGAATTTAGAAGAAGTTGCACTCGGAGGTCCTTACTCGTTCAGCAGCAGGGAGAGAGACTACATCATTGTGAGTCGTTTAAAAATAACTTAAAACAAAATTCAGAAATAATTAGGCATGAGAGAATTTGTGCAGGAAAGAAACCTTGGAAATGCAGTGAGTGTGAGAAAGCCTTCAGTTACTACTCAGCTTTTGTCTTACATCAGAGAATTCACACCGGAGAAAAACCCTATGAATGTAAAGAGTGTGGGAAAGCCTTTAGCCAGAGCATACACCTTACTCTGCACCAGAGAATTCATACTGGAGAGAAGCCCTACGAATGCCATGAGTGTGGGAAAGCCTTCAGTCACCGCTCAGCCCTTATTCGGCATCACATCATTCATACTGGAGAAAAACCCTATGAATGCAATGAATGCGGGAAGGCCTTTAACCAGAGTTCATACCTCACTCAACATCAGCGAATTCATACTGGAGAGAAACCTTATGAGTGTAACGAATGTGGGAAGGCCTTCAGCCAAAGCACATTCCTTACCCAGCATCAGGTCATTCACACTGGAGAGAAACCCTATAAGTGTAACGAATGTGGCAAAGCCTTTAGTGATCGGTCAGGTCTTATTCAGCACCAGAGGACTCATACTGGGGAGCGGCCTTACGAGTGTAACGAATGTGGGAAAGCCTTTGGCTACTGCTCAGCCCTGACTCAGCACCAGAGAACTCACACTGGGGAGAAACCCTATAAATGCAACGATTGTGCCAAAGCCTTCAGTGACCGCTCAGCCCTTATTCGTCATCAGAGAACACACACTGGAGAGAAACCTTACAAATGTAAAGATTGTGGAAAAGCATTCAGCCAGAGCTCGTCTCTTACAAAGCATCAGAAAACTCACACTGGAGAAAAGCCCTACAAGTGTAAGGAATGTGGAAAAGCCTTCAGCCAGAGCTCATCCCTCTCTCAACATCAGAAAACTCATGCCGGAGTGAAAACCAAGAAATATGTCCAAGCTTTTAGTGAGCATTTAACCTTTGGCCAACACAAGAGAATTCATACTGGATAAAGACCATGTACATGTGGTACATTCAGAGCATACTTATTGAGCATTTACCGTGCTTGCCATGGGGGTCTACAAAGAAATTTAAGATGGTGTTGCAAAAAAGTTATTGAGAAGTCACTGCTGATATGGGTTGTAGCATGATTAGACTGTGAAAGTATAGTTTTACCTTTTTAAAAGTGTTCTGGCAGAGGACGCTGAATTTCCCTCAGGAAAGAGGGAAATTATTTGTAACACCCTAACGTGTATGTAAATTACCATATGCTTGGGCGAGAAATGGGGTATGCTGTGGTGGAAAGGGGACATCTTGACTGTGCTAGATATTTTCATAATACTAAGAATATAAGTTTTAAAGAGATAAGTTATACTTTTAGGGAAGTTGCGTGGGTAGAAATAAGAGATTGAGAATTCACAATGAGTTTGTCCAGAGTCAGGAGTGGTGTTGGAAGGGAAGTTGTCCTTCATTCTTAAGTTTAAAGAGCCAAAGGAAGTAGAGGGAAAGGATAGAAAAAAAGAGCTCGGGGAATGAACCCAAAAAATGTTGATTATGTTAACTACTCAACTGAATATTCACAACCGTGAAAAATATTAGACTTAATAGTTGTCCAGTTGAAAAGTTTCTGTGAGGGTAGCTTTACCCTGCAGCTAAGGACTGTTGGCTGACTGTTTCTGTGAGGGTAGCTTTAGGCTGCAGCTAAGGACTATTGGCTACAGGGTAATGCAGGGTGTTTGCTTCTGCACTTTTTGTCTTTTAGACCTTGCTTACTGAGACATCGCCTACTAAATCATGTTAATTTCCAAGGGTCAGGAGCCACAGCTTAGAAAATTGAGTACAGAAGAGACCTTTGATGTGTTCAAACTGTTTTAAGGTATCTGAGTTACCTGAGAATGTGCTTATTTATAAAGATTTACCTCAGTTGTATCTAGTTTGTACCTTAGATTTTTTATAGCTTATAGTAAAGTTTAGTTGTAGATTTGCACTGACACTGCATATTAGATTATGAAAAGCTTGAAAAGACTTTGAAATACCTTTTACCATTTTACTCTTGAGTAGAGGCAGGTGGCATCTTTTTATATTTCTTTTTCATTGAAACTTTGAAGATTATTGGACACGTTATTTTGAGTGCAGAGTTTTTAATTTTAGGAAGCTGTACTATGATGTATCTTGGTGTGAATTTCTTTTAGTTTACCCTATTGGGTTTGCTTAGCTTCTTCAATGTATAGGTTTATGTCTTTTGCCAAATTTGGTAGATTTTCAGCCCTCATCTCTTTAAATACATTTTAGCCCCCACCTTCTACTCCTTTTCTCCTGGGACTCTAATGAAAGAAATAGGAGCTCTTTGGTTGTCGTCTCACAAGTTGCTGAGGCTCTGTTCATTTTTTCTTGACGATTTTTGTCTGAATCTGCTCTATCTGCCATAACAAGACAGCATAGACTGACCGAGTGACTCAAAAAAATACATAATTCTAACAGTTCTGAAGGCTGGGAAATCCAAGATCAAGGTGCCTGCTGACTCAGTCTCTAATGAGGGCTTTCTTCCTGGCTTACAGATGGCTGCCTTCTCACTGTGTCTTCTCATGTCCGTAGTGCATGCAGATGGGCCAGTTGGGAGAGGGAGAGAGAAATAGCTCCCTCTTCTTATCAGTCCACCAGTTCTAGCAGATTAGGACTCTGCCCTTCTTACCTCATTTAACCCTAATTACCCCCCTGAAAACGCTGTCTCCAAATTCACATTGGGGATTAGCACTTCAACATAATTTTGGGGAAGAGGGGATACATTTAGTCCATAACGTTCCACCCCAGCCCCTCACCGAATTTATGTCCTTGCGTGCAGAATACATTTATTCCTCTCCAACGGCCCCAAAAGCCCTAACTCATTCTAGCATTAGCTCTAAAGTCCAGACCTTCAAGTAAATACCACCTAAATCAGATACGGGTAAGACTCAAGGTGCAATTCATCCTGCGGCACAATTGCTCTCCAGCTGTGAACCTGTGAAACCAAACAAGTTATGTGCTTCCAAAATACATTTGTGGTCTGGACATAATGTAGGCATTCCCATTCCACAGAGGGAGAAATAGGAAAGTAGGAGGAGGGATGTGTCCTGAGCAAGTCCAAAACTTAGCAAGGCAAATTCCATTAGGTCTTGTGTTTCATCAGATCTTGTGAGAATAATCCTCTTTTGCTCAGTGCCTCCCGGACCCACTGGGGTAGAGGTCCTGTCTCTGGTACTGCCAGGTAGCCCCTTGCCTAAGCCTCTGCAGGGCAATTCTGCCCCTAAGGCTTCAGTTGGAGGCTTTCTGTTCTGTTGAAACCAAGGTGATGGTTCCACCCTTTGAAACAAGAGGCATCCCCAATGGTCTCTGAATTGTTTTCAGGGTCATTCTCTTTTCTTGAAGGTAACACATACTCATAGACAAATGGCTCTCTAGTCTGGTTCTGTAGTATCTGAGAAGTCCTAAAGCCTGCCTTCATTTTATTTTGTTGTTTTTCTGTCCCCTTTAGTGCCAGGTGGCTGTGTTTCTGCTGTTATAATCCCATTTATATTCCTGGCTTCTCCTGGGCTGTGAAACCCATTTGATCTATTTATCAAATGGTTGAAATAGTTTTTAAGCCACATGCTTAGTGTTTTCTTCATAGCAAATTTTCTCATATTTTTGTGATACAAGTGGAATGTTCATATTTCTTTAATTGTGCTTCCTTGTTTCTTAACAGTTCCTTCTTCACTTAATCTCTCTCCTCTCACATTTTACTACAAGCACTAAGGGGACCCAAGCTGCACCTTCAGTACTTTGCTTAGAAATCTGCTAAATAAACAGTTTCATCACTCTCAAGTTCTGCCTTTCAGAAAACGCTGGAACAGTTCGGAGAAGTTCTTTGCCACTTTATAACAAGAGCCACCTTTTTTTTTTTTCCAGTTCTAATAATATGTACCTTATTGCCATCTGAGGCCTTGCCAGAGTGGCCTTTAATATCCGCATCTCTAGCATGTACCTCAAAACTCTTGGCCTCTACCCATCACCCTGTCTAAAGCTGCCTCCACATTTTGAGGCATATGTTACAGCAGCATCCGCCTTCTGGGTACCAGAATCTCAATCTGCTTGGTCGGCCATAACAAACATCCATAGACTGGGCAGCTCAAACCACAGAAATTTATTTCTCAAAGTCCTGGAGGCTGTAAGTCTAAAATCAGGGTCCAACCGCGTTCAGTTCCTGGCTTGTAGATGGTTGCACTCTCACTGTGTTCTCACCTGACCTGTTCTCAGTGCACAGGTGTGGAGAGAAGTTGGATTGGGATCCCACCTTTAAGGTCTCTTTTAACCTTAATTACTTCCTCGGAACCTATCTCCAAATATAGTCACATTGAGGGTTAGGGTGTCCACATAATGAATTGGGGTGGGGGGACATAGTTCGTCACAGTTTTCTCTCTTCAGATTGAGTATTTTCTGTTGTTCTGTCTTCCAGTTCGCTAGATCTTCCCTCTGTCCTTTTGATTCTGCTGTTGAGACCATCCTTGAATTTTATTTCAGTTATTGTATTTTTTAGTTGCACATGATTCTTTGTTTCCTTGCTGAGAGCCTTTCTTTGCTTATTTTGTTTGCATTAAGCATGTTTGTAATTACTCATTGAGGCATTTTTGTGATGGCTGCTCTCAAATCCTTGCAGGTTATCCTAACATCTGTATCATCTCAGTATTGACATCTTTGGGTTATCTTCTCATTTAAGTTGAGATTTTCTTGGTTCTTGGTGTGAGGAGCAATTTTCAGTTGAAGTCTGGACATTTGGAGTATTTTGGTGTGAGATTTCGTATCCTGTTGAAGTCTTCTGTATTGACAGGCCTCCTCGGATACCACTGTGGTGGAGAAAGTGTTGCGGGGGTGCTGCCTCCTTACTTTAAGTTGGTGTTGGAAGTCCAGGTTCACCATTGGCCTCTAATGACTCCTGGGCAGGGGTCCTTACTACTGCTGGGCAAGGGTGGGATTTACAGCTCCCCACTAGGCCTCCGCTGACACCACACTGGCTAGGGAAGATCAGGAATGCTTTGTTACTGCTATTTACATGGTCTCGATTGACAGCATGGTGTGGGGTTGAGGGTGACATCTTTACTGTTGGGAATTGGTGTAAGTCTTGACCCCCCACTTGGCTTCCACTGAGACCACACCAGTAAGAAAGAAGCGAGATGGCTCTGAGTAGGGGGGACACTGCCAGGGTGATGTGTGGGGAGGGGTGGGTTTTAGAAATCTATCTGCCCACTTGGTCTTCTCTGATACCACCCCAGGCTAAAGGTGGAGGACTGAGAGCCTTGTTACAGCCTGGTGAGGGTGGAAGTATTTAGGCCTTTGTTGGTGGGGATAGGACCATAGCTTGCTTCTGTGGTCTTTTAAGTAGGATTGTGGTTTTCTAAACGTTTTCTGTCTTGCTAGGCTACTGCCTTTCCAGTCCTTTGGCTAGAAAAAGCAGATTTTTCTTGGGGCTTTTTTTTTTGTCTGTGCCTGTTGGCATTTCTGGGTTGTCAGCTTCTCTAGAACCCAATCTGGGATAGATGAGGCAACGAGAAAACCCAAGAACATCACTGCTGTGTTCTTCCTCAGGTTCTGAGGTCCCTAGCCAGTCCATTCTCTCTCCACCTTCTAGAACTTTCTTATGTTTGCTTTGTATATAATATCCCAGATTTTTAGTCGTACTTAGTGAGAGCAGTAGGAGAAAGTAGTGCTCTACCTTTCCCATGACATCTTTGTGCTTGACACTGAAATCACACATCAAGTTGTGGTATATATATATGGTTTGTGGTGTATACAGGTCATTTGTAACCAGTTAGGAATAGGTACTAAAAGAAATGCTCACTGGATTCCTGAAGATAAGCTGCCAATTTGATAGGTAGAAACTATCAGCCTGCTTCATCTAGCTTTGAAGGAACAATAGTTTATAAATTGAGGAAACACCAGTATTTAATTGTAGGTTATAAACTTGAGAAGGATAGATATGACTAAGAATATAAACTGTAGGGTTAAATTTTTTGTATTTGTATTTTCAAACTGACTTTTTGAACTTTTGCAAAAATCAACTTTTATCAAAGTACACAATAAAATTCACCCACTTAAAGGTGTTTGCCATGTTTGACGAAGATATTACCCTTGTAACTACCACCGTAATTGTGTGTGTGGTTATAATAGTTCCTCCTTCTCCTTCTCCCTCCCTCTCTCCTCCTCCTCCCCATCTTCCTCCTCCTTTCACCCCTTTCTCTTTCTTTCTCCTTTCTTCCTTTCTTCCTTCCACAGTTCTGTCTTAAAATGCCCTATGTAGACTTGTGTAACCATCACCACAAAGGGTACAGAACAATTCCACTGCACCAACAAATTCCCCTTGTGCTGCTTTTTTTTAAGAGTGGCTCCCCATCCTGCATTGAGTATAAAGGCTTTGATTTTCATCAGTGTTGTGTCATTTACTAATTTTTATTGCTGAGTAGTTTTCCACGTTAGGTACCACAGTATTCTTAGCCATTAACCCACTGAAGCACATTTAGGTTGTTTATAATTTTTGGTGATTATGAATAAAACTATTACAAACATTAGGTTTTTGTATGAACATAAATTTTCATATCTGTAGGGTAAATATTGGAGTGAAATGGTTAGGTCATATGGTGAGTATATATTTACCTTTGTAACACAGGGCCAACCTTTTCCAGAATGATTGGTTAAATTTGTTTTCCCACCAGCAATGTATGAAGATGTGGTTGCTCCATAATTTGCCAACACCTGGTATTCTCATTGTTTTTATTTTATCCACTCTAGTAGATGTGTAGTGGTATCTCATTGTGGCTTCAGTTTGCATTTCCTTAATGACTAATGATGTTGAGCATCTTTTCATGTGCTTTTGTCCATCTGTGTATCTTTGATGAAGTGTTCAAATCTTTTGCCATTTTAAAAGAATTCTATTGTTTGTTTTCCTAGTTTCTGTAGTTTGTGGCTTGTCTTTTCTCTTTTATTTAATTTTTATTTCAGTGTCTTTTATAAAGCAAAGTTTTTAAATTTTAATGAAGTCCAGTTTTTCCTTTTATGGACCATACTTTGGTGTCATATTTAAGAACCCATCCCGAACTAATGTTTAGGAAATTTTTCTTCTACTAGCTTATTGGTAATGTTTTTCATATTGTGACAATTTTCACATTTTTATATAATGTGTTACATAAAGGCCTAGGCTCATTGTTTTTACATGTGGTTATTCAATTGTTTCAGCATCATTTGTGGAAAACATTGTTTCTCCATTGAATTGCCTTTGCTCTTTTGTCAACAATTGATTGTTCGTGTTTAAGTGGCTCTGTTTCTCAGTTTTCTATTCTATTCCATTGATCTATGTGTCCATCCCTTTGCCAAAACCACACATTATCTTGATTACTGTAGCTTTGTAGTAAATCTCAAAATCAGGTAATGTAAGCCCTTCAAATTTATTCTTTTTCTAATTTATATGCTTCCACTGTCATATATTTGTCTATATGTTATGTCAAGTTTTACTTTATGTATTTTGACACTCGGTTGTTATCTGAATACAAGTTAAGAATTGTCAAATCTGTGGTGATTTGAATGTTTTCTCATTATGTAGCAACTTTCTTTAAACATAAGAATACTTTATAACAGATAATATTGGGTTTTTTTGGGGGGGAGGAGGTTTGAAACAAGGTCTCACTCTCACCCAGGCTGGAGTACAGTGGTGGTTTGATTTTGGCTTGTTGCAGCCTCAACCTCCTGGACTCAAGCAATCCTTCCACCTCAGCCTCTCGAGTAGCTGGATTACAGGTGTGCACCACCACACCCAGCTACATTTTTTTGCATCTTTTGTGGAAATGGGGTTTCACCATGTTGACCAGGCTGGTCTTGAACTCATGAGTTCAAGCAATCTGCCCACCTTGGCCTCCCAAAGTGCTGGAAATACAAGCGTGAACCACTCTGCCCCACCACAGATTTATTGAGATATAATTTACATTCCATAAAATTCACCCATTTAAAATGTACAGTTCAGTGTTTGTGTATTCACAGAGTTGTACAACCATCACCACAATAAATTTTAGAACATTATCACCTCTAGAATAAAACTTTTAGCTATAACCTCTGCTATGGTCTGTATGTTTGTGTACCCTCAAAATTCGTAAGTTGCAATCCTAACCCCTAAGCTGACGGTATTAGGAGATGGGGCCTTTGGGAAGTGAGTAGGTCAAGAGGGCGTAGTCCTGATAAATGAGCTCAGTGCTCTTATGAAAGTGGCCACAAACAGGTCACTCACCCCTTCTCCCTCGTGAGGACACAATGAAAAGACAGTCATCTGTGAGCTAGAAAGTGGGTTCTCTCTCAAATTTCATTATGCTGGTGCCTTGACCTTGGACTTCCCAGCCTCCAGAACTGCAAGAAATCATTTATTGTCGTTTATCAGCTACTCAGTGTGTGGTACATTTGTTATGGCAGCTGGAACAGACTAAGATAACTCCCAACTCCTCTATTCTCCCCAGCACTAGGCAACCATGAATACCTAGATTCATGTGTGTAGATTTGCCTGTTCTAGACATTTCATATAAATGGAATCATACAGTCATTATACAGTATATGATCTGGTGTGATTTGAATGTGGATTAGGCCATTTGCACACTGCTGTCAATAACCTGAAACTAAGTTATAAGGAAAAGAGGCTTAATTGGCTCACAGTTCCACAGGCTGTACAGGAGTCATGGCTGGAGAGGCCTTAGGAAGCTTATAATCATGGTGGAAGGCAAAGGGGAAACCGGCTCGTCTTACATGGCCAGAGCAGGAGACGGGGGAAGGTGCCACACACTTTTAAACAACCAGATCTCATGAGAACTCATCACAGGAAGAGCACCAAAGGGGGAAATCTGCCCCCATGATCTAATCACCTCCAATCAGGTCCCACCTCCAACATTGAGGATTATAATTTGACATGAGATTTGGGCAGGGTCACAGACCCAAACCATATCAGAATGTGTCCCCTAAAGTTCATGTGTTGGCCACTTGATCCCCAGTGAGGTAGTTCTGGGAGATGGGGCCTAATGGGAGGTCAGTAGATTATGGGGGCACCACCCTCACGAATGGATTAATGCTATTGTGAGAGTGGGTCTGTTGTCACAGGAGTGGGTTCCTTACAAAAGAACAAGTTTGGCTCCCTCTTGCTCCTCTATTGCCCTCTCTTTGCCCTTTGGCTATGGAATGGTACAGCAAGAAGGCCCTCAACAGACACCAGCTCCTTGATTTTGGACTTCCCAAGCTCTAGAACTATGAGGAAATAAATGTCTATTCATTATAAATTACCCAGTGTAACATTCTGTCATAGCAGCACAAAAGGGGCTAAGACATGGTCTTTCTGATTGGCTTCTTTCACTTACCATAATGTTTTCATAAGGTTTATGTTATGGAATATATTAGTGCTTCATTTATTTTATAAACATTCTTTCCTTTTAAAAAAAAATCTCAAATGTGATAGTACTTTTTTATTGTGGTAAAAAACACATAACATAAAATTTACCCTCTCAGCCATTGTCTTAGTTTGTTTTGTGCTGCCATAACAGAATACCACAGATGGTAATTTATAAGGGTGGAAAATTTATTGCCTCACAGTTCTGGAGGCAGAGAAGCTCGAGATCAAGGGACCAGCATCGGATGAGGCCCTCCTTGCAGCATCATCCCATGAAGGAATGTGGAAGAGGAGATTGAACTCACACTTTTGTAATGGCACCAATTGCACCCACAAGGGTGAAGCCCTCATGGCTTAATCACCTCTTAAAAGGTCCTGCCTCTTTAAACTCAACACCAGCAATTAAATTTCAACATGAGTTTTGGAGGGGGTAAACATTCAAACCATAGCATTCCACCCCTGGCTCCCCAAAACTTTTGTCCTTTTCACATACAAAATACATTCATTCCATCCCAATATCCCCAAAAGTCTTCACTGATTTCAGAATCAACTCCAAATTCCAAAGCCCAAGAGTCTCATCTGAAATCAGATATGGGTGAGACTCAAATCACTATTCATCCTAAGGCAAATTTCCAGCTCTGAGCCTGTGAAATTAAACAAGTTATGTGCTTCTGAAATACAGTGGTGAGCCAGTCATAGGATAGACATTTGCATTCCAAAAAGGAGAGACAGAGAAAAAGAGAGGAGATCCTAAGCAAGTCCACTCTGTGGCTTTCCTGGGCTCAGTCCACACAGAAGCTCTCGTGGGTTGAAATCTTGTGCCTGCAGCTCTCCCAGACTGGTGTTGCACACTGGTAGCTCTACAGTTCTGGGGTCTTGGGAATGGCCCTGCCTCCACAGCTCCTCTAGGCCTAGTGGGGGACTCTATGCAGTGGCTCTGACCCCACAGTTCCACTGGGCATTGTCCTAGTGGGGTCTCTCTACAGTGGCTCCACCCCTGTAACAAGTGTCTGCCCCAGGCTGTTCATGACATCCTTTGAAATCTAGGGCTACATTTAAGATCAGGTCATCTGCACATAATTTTAGTTTTTCCTTTCCAATTTATTGCTTAATTACTCTTACTAAGACCTCTAGTACTATGTTGAATAGAAGATGTGAGAGTGAGCTTGTTCCTATCTTGGAGGAAAAGCTTTCAGTTTCTCACCATTGAGCATGATATTAGCTATGGACTTTTTATATATTGCCTTTGTTATGTTGAGGTAATTTCCTTCTGTTTTTAGTTTGTTGAGTGGTTTTTTAAAATCATGAAAGGATGTTAAATATTGTCAAATGCTTTTTCTGCATTAGTTGAGATAATTGTGTGTTTTTTTGTTTTTCATTCTGTTAATATGGTTTATTGCATTGGTTCATTTTCATATATAAACCATCCTTGCATTTCGTGGATAAATCCCACTTGGTCATGGTCTATAATTTTTTATTTATTTATTTTTATATAACTTTCATTTTTTAAAATTATACTTTAAGTTCTAGGGTACATGTGCACAACGTGCAAGTTTGTTACATATGTATACATGTGCCATGTTGGTGTGCTGCACCCATTAACTCGTCATTTACATTAGGTATGGTATATCTCCTAATGCTATCCCTCCCCCATCTCCCCACCCCACGACAGGCCCCGGTGTGTGATGTTCCCCTTCCTGTGTCCAAGTGTTCTCATTGTTCAATTCCCACCTATGAGTGAGAACATGCGGTGTTTGGTTTTCTGTTCTTGCAATAGTTTACTCAGAATGATGGTTTACAGCTTCATCCATGTCCCTACAAAGGACATGAACTCATCCTTTTTTATGGCTGCATAGTATTTCATGGTGTATATGTGCCACATTTTCTTAATCCAGTCTGTCATTGATGGACATTTGGGTTGGTTCCAAGTCTTTGCTATTGTGAATAGTGCCACAATAAACATACGTGTGCATGTGTCTTTACAGCAGCATGATTTATAATCCTTTGGGTGTATACCTAGTAACGGGATGGCTGGGTCAAATGGTATTTCTAGTTCTAGATCCTTGAGGAATCACCACACTATCTTCCACAATGGTTGAACTATAATTTTTTATTGTGCTGTTGAATTTAGTTTGCTAGTATTTTTTAAAAGGGATTTTGCATCAATTCCTCTATAAATCCTGATCAATGAATACATCAGGGATATTGAGCTGTAGTGTTGTGGTGGAAGGTGAAGAGGAAGGAGGCATGTGTTACATGGCCAGAGCAGGAGGAAGAGAGTGAAGGGGAAGGTGCTACACACTTTTAAACAACCAGATCTTGTGAGAACTCACTCACTATCATGAGAACAGCAGGGGGAATTCCACCCCCATGATCCAATCGCCTCCCACTGGCCCCTCCTCCAATGCTGGGGATTACAGT